AGCACATTCATTTGATTATACATCTCCAGTGGCATATATCATAAGGACAAAAAAAAAAAAAAAAACCTATGAAAAAAGCTTAAACCATTTTTAAAAAAATTATGAGACAATCAGGGAAATGTGAACACAGATTGGGTGTTTAATGATATTAAAGAATATTTGTCAATAATGTTTAGGTGTGACAAAGGTATTTTGCTTACATTTTTAAAAAGATGCTTTATTTTTTAGAAATACACATTGAAGTATTCACAGAGGAAAAGATATAGTGTCTGGGATTTGCTTCAAAATATCCAGTGAAGTAGGAGGTAGGAGAACAAGTTTGAGTGTGTTGGTAAAATACACTGAAGGCTACACTGATACCATACTTTCAGACTTCTCCTAATCTTCCTTTCCTCAGTTTCTGGTGATGACTCACTCACTCCTAACCCATTTTCAAAGATTGAATATTTGAGTCCCTCAAGATTCAGTTCAGACCCTTTGCTCTCCTCATCCGTATTCTCTGCCTACGCAGTTTCATCCATAGTCATAGCTGTTTGGCCGAATTTATATCCAGTGCAGACCTCTCTTTTACAATCCACACCCATGTATAGCACTTCTATTAAAGGGCTTAGTTGGAATGTCTTTTGGCCACTAAAATTCACATTCAGCAAAATGGAATTATTTTACCCCTAAACTTAGTTCTCTTGCATTTTCTTTCTTTCTTTCTTTTTTTTTTTTTTTAAAAAGATGACCGGTAAGGGGATCTTAACCTTCGACTTGGTGTTGTCAGCACCACGCTCAGCCAGTGAGCTAACCGGCCATCCCTATATTGGATCTGAACCCGTGGCTTTGGTGTTATCAGCACCACACTCTCCCGAGTGAGCCACGGGCCGGCCCATCTCTTGCATTTTCTACTGGGGCAAAATGTACCACTCTAAATACAGTTGCTGCAGGCACACTCGTGGGATTAGATCTTTCTATCCTTCTCTACCTCATCCCTTCTGTGCAATAAATTCTCAAGTCCTAACAAGTTAGCTAACTAAATATTTCTCAAACTTCTCCATCTTTCTCCATCTAAATTCTCAAGTCCTAACAAGTTAGCTAACTAAATATTTCTCAAACTTCTCCATCTTTCTCTATCTGCATCACCACTATCCAAGACAAGAATAATCTCTTGGCAATAGCCTCCTAATGAGTTTGCAAATATGCATTTTCTCTTCAATCCAGGATGCATGCTGTAGCCAGAGGAATCTTTTTAATAAAAATGGGTCGCAAGGTCATGTATTACATGGTCCCAGCCTACAACTCCAACTTGTTATGCCACTCTGCTCATTACCTGCCAAGCATGAGCCACACTGGCCTTCTTTAGCCTCTTAAGCATGTTGAGGACTTCCCAACTTCAGGGTCTTCACTGAGGTTGTTCTTTTGGGATGAAAGTCTCTTTGCCACTCCCTCTCTCCAAGAATCCCCACTCTTCTTGAGCTCAGCTTGGTCAGGTTCTGTTGAGTACACTCTCATGGAGAGCCCCACTTATCAAAATTGAAATAAATAATGGTTTTAATAGTTGATGAATGTTTTCCTCTCCAACCAGAATTAAAACTCATTGATGACTAACTGGATCTACTTTCATCTGTTCCAGGGTGAGACATTAAAAAGTGATTGAATAAATAATGATTATAAGTATTAAAAATAAATTCAGGGGAAAATGGCATTCAATTACCATCATTCCTGAATGTTGTTCTGTAGTTCTGATAGAGAAATATATACAAAACAAATAATTGGTATAAATATTGGAAAGAAGTCTACTGAATTATCATTTGCAAATAATTGCTTACTTCCAAAACGTAAGAGTATCAGGAAAAGAAATATTCTAAAGAGTAAGGTAGACATATATTAAATAAATATCTAGTATAATAAAAGTATTGATTTGACAAACAATAAGTTAGAAAATAGAAAAAAGATGCTATTCCCAATAGCATTAAAAAGAAATGAAATAAGAATGAAATAAAATTGATAGTTCCTATATGAAAACAATGCAAAACATTTACCAAGGATGATAAAAGGTAAATAGAGATATATCTCATGTTCTGGACAGGAAAATGAAATGATAGGCAAATGACAAGTGACTGTACATTTATGTTAGTGGCTCAGAAGGCAGGTTCTGGATTCATGCCAAGTTTCTAGCCTAGTTCCTCTGCTTACTAACTGCATTTGGACATGTTGCTTACCCTCTCCGATTCTCAGTTTTATCATCTGTGAAGTGAGATAACAATGTTATCGCAAAGGATTTTGGTAAAGATAAATGAGATAGTCATTGAAAATAATTTTGCACAAGGCATAGTAAGCATTTAATACATATTAGCTATTAGTATTATATCAATTCTAATCAAAATACTCATAATGTTAGGCTGGTTTTTTATTATTTTTTTGGCTGCTGCTAGTATTTGGGGATCTGAACCATTGAACGTGATGTTGTAATACCTTGCTCTAACCAACTCTCAAAATACCCGTACCTTTAATGTAAACCAAAGTCTTAATGAGCTTTGAAAACATGATTTAAAGTGTATCTGGAAGAAAAACAAAGAGGATCAAAAGGAAATTTTGGTAAATAATGCTGAAAGGAATAATGTGTCCAATCAATAAAATCAATTTTGAAGTTATAAAATAATAAACCAGTTCTAAAACAAAAGGCCTGAGGGCCGGCCCATGGCTCACTCAAGAGTGCGGTGCTGTTAACACCAAGGCCACAGGTTCGGATCCCATATAGGGATGGCCGGTTGCTCACTGGGTGAGCGTGGTGCTGACAATACCAAGTCAAGGGTTAAGATCCCCTTACTGGTCATTTAAAAAAAAAAATAAATAAAAAAATAAATAAATAAAAGCCTGAAGATAACTAGCAAACCCAAAGTACTTAAAAATTAAAACTATATATAGGTGCAGTACTAGAGGAAGAAGGCTATGAAAAATTTATTCAGGGCATAACTAGATAGGCAACATTTGTGGAAATCACAATAGTGGAAAGCTGTCAAATCTCAAAAACTAGACATGTAAAGCTAACGCACTCCCAATCGAATTCTCAGTAAGATTTTTTTTTTTTTTGTCCTTTTTGTGACCGGTAAGGGGGTTGCAACCCTTGGCTTGGTGTCGCCCGCACTGTGCTCAGCCAGCGAGTGCATCGGCCATCCCTATACAGGATCTGAACCCGCGGCGGGCAGCGCCGCACTCTCCCAAGTGAGCCACAGGGACGGCCCAAAAAATATTTTGAAAAGTAAGCATAACAATGATTTGTCTCACCAGACTTTAAATTGTGAGATATCGTCATAATGATCCTAACTGTTGTTTAGGAATAAATAGTGAAATAGAATAGCAAGTCCAGAAATATACCTACATTCGGGCTCTGATAAAAATGCCATCTCAAACCTGTCAATAACCTGGATCATCCAATAAATATCATTGAAACTGCTGATTGCCTTTTGAGAAAATAATTTAAATACCACGTCAAGTTATACTCTTAAATGAATTGCTGATGACTGAATGTTAAAAATGAAGCCATAAGATGTTGCATAGGGATACACACGTCATAAAAATACAAAAAAAATTTATTGGAATTATACACTTTCAGGATAAGGATTAAGACCACCAAGGAATAGGATTACAATAAGCAAACGTACACAAGTAGATTTTGACCACACTGTAAAGTTTTATTTTTGAAACTGGGTGGTAAGATTATGGCTGTTCATTGTTTTATCCTTTTTACCTTTGTGTACAAGGTAAATATTTCACAGTAAAACAAATAGGGTGAATGTTACATATCTATTTCACAATTAGATTTTTTTTTCCTTTTTGTCTTTTTTCGTGACTGGCAACGGGATCGCAACCCTCGGTGTCACGCCCACACCGCGCTCAACCAGTGAGGGGACCGGTCTCTATATGGGATCCGAACCCTTGGCAGGAGCGCCGCCGCGCTCCCTAGCGCTGCACCCTACCGAGTGCGCCACCGGGCCAGCCCCCACAATTAGATTTTTTAAGCTCACCTGCTCTGACCCCTGCCTAGCGTGTGCCCCCTGCCTGCAGCCCACCAACGTCTTCGTTGCCATCAAGATCACCGGGAAGAACCTAGAGCTCTGTGCTTTAAACACCATTCTGATTCTCATTTATGTTTAACCACGTTTATATTTAAGATCTATCCACATTGCCATATTCTTTTTATTCCTTCTGACTTCTACATAGTATTACATAATACTGTGTATATTATATTTTATTGATTGATTCACTTAGTTATGGGCACATAGGTTGCTTCCGACTTTTTACTAAGATAAACAAAACGTTGTGTCTCACCCCAACCCCATCCCCCCAACCAAGTCTGACTCTTCAAGGAATATTCAACACATGGAACCAACCTGCATGCAAGCAATTAGTAAATATTTAATAAGTGCATTTGGAATTGATTTATGGAGGGCCTCAAAAACCAGGTAGTGTGTTGGGGCCGGCCCGTGGCTCACTCGGGAGAGTGCGGTGCTGATAACACCAAGGCCACGGGTTCGGATCCCATATAGGGATGGCCAGTTTGCTCACTGGGTGAGCGTGGTGCCGACAACACCAAGTCAAGGGTTGAGATCCCCTTACCGGTCATCTTTTAAAAAAAACAAACAAACCAGGTAGTGTGTTTATTTCACTCTAGGACAATTTGCCAAAAATAAATTTACATGAAGCCATTTCCAGAATGAAAAATTTGCCAAAATCCAATTTGCAAAAAAGGAATTCTCCAAATTACAAATTTGATGAATTGTTGAGGCCTGTCTAAAAAGCTGAGCTCCATTCATGCCTCAGCCTTCCATAAGGGAAGCCTAGGAGCAGGGGCAAGGCATAACTATACAAAAATAGAAATGAACTACAAACCCCATTTAAGAAAATCTTCACTAGTTTATATATCAAAGGGCTGGGGTAACTGCAAAACCAAACCTTTGAAAAAAAAATCTATGTGACAAATTAGTTTTGACAGCTAGTAACAAGCACAGAAATGTAAACAAAATTAGTTTATTTCATGATAAGATATTTAGACATAGGCAAGGGCTGGTGTTGGATCAGCAGCTCAACAACATGAGGACCGGCAAGAGAACTGTGGTTCTCTTGGCCATTCTTCTCCCGGGGTTGACAGAATTAATTCTGCTCCAGCCATCACTTCGGTGTTTGTGGCAGGAAGTGGGGGAAGAGGTGGCCTAGCTGCATCTATCACTTCAATCAGAAGGCAAAAGTTTACCCAGAAATCCTGAGGCCAAAACTGTGTCCCAAGGCCACCCATAGCTGCAACAGAATCTCTAAAATGAGCAATCCGCTTTTTGCAGGTTTTTTCGTGGAGGTCAAAAAAGAAGGGGGTTGGGAAAGGAGCAAGTCCCTTACCACCACCATTACTTTTATGTAAATTAATTTCTCTTTCAAAATGGGTAGTTTAGATATATGTCAAGAAACTTCTATCAACAATTCTAAGATTATAATTTGAAACTCATTTCTGCTTTCAATCATGACAATTTTAACGTATGCATTTCAGCTATACTACTTTTTCTTGTTTCCCCCTCCCCTCAGCATTCTAGAATGGAACTAAAATAAAACTACTTAATATTTCAAGAAAGAGTGGGAGAAAAAATCAAACGGCTAACAGTGACAAAATACTTCCAATTACTTCTCTGCTCAGTCACCGTCCTTCCACACCAAAGAACATCTGGAAAATATCCCCACATCCTTTGGCACTTAAGAACTGATACAGTTGACCAAAGTCCATGTGATTTCCTCTGGCTCCATTGACAGTGAATGCTTTTTCTTCAAAACTGGAAAATTTCCTTTGTTTTTCCATTTCATTATTTGTACCATCAAAAGGAATGTCTTCTCGATGGCGAATTAAAATTCTCTTCCAGTTTAATTTTCTGAGTCTGAAAAGAAATTTTCAAAGTAGAAAATTTCAAAATGCATTATGTATTCTAGAACCCTGAAAATAGAAGTTGTAAAACAGATTTACTAGTGCCTTTTCCTAGAAGTAAAGAAGTCTGCTTTTATCTCACAGGGATTTATTTTAATCTATTTTAATCAATATGATTCTGGTCATAACCCCATCCCCAAACTATTTTATTGTCATTACTACTGCCTCATATCAGTATTTTAGAAATGTGGAGATTACTGAATTTCAAACTACTGAAGGAACTTCTCAGAAACTCATTTAGGGGCCGGCCTGTGGCTCACTTGGGAGAGTGTGGTGCTGATAATACCAAGGCCCCGGGTTTGGATCCCATATAGGGATGGCCGGTTAGCTCACTGGGTGAGCATGGTGCTGACAACACCAAGTCAAGGGTTAAGATCCCCTTAGCGGTCATCTTTTTTAAAGAAAGAAACTCATTTAGGACATCGGTAGAGAAATAAGAAGACTAGTGGCAATTCTTTTTTTTTTTTAAAGATGACCGGAAAGGGGATCTCAACTCTTGGCTTGGTGTTGTCAGCACTACGCCCAGCCAGTGAGCTAACCGGCCATCCCTATATAGGATCCGAACCCGTGGCCTTGGTGTTATCAGCATTGCACTCTCCGAGTGAGCCACGGGCCAGCCCTAAGACTAGTGGCAATTCTAATGCTTCTAGAAAGCCCCTTGTTTCACAGGGTGTACAGTTTACAGTATCACTAAGATGAAGGAAGAATTAGATCCATGGAAATGGATGGGACTGTAGACAGCGTCCAGGGAATTCAACACAAAGTTACATGATGTCTCCCACCTGCACTGTGTCAGGGGAGGGGGGTAATACTTACTGTGTGTGATTTCTGCCTTATCCACTGACTTAAGACCAAATCCCCATGAAGATACAACCCCCAGGACATACTTATTTCTACATCTTATAGTACCTTGTTTAGTATTTAAATTATTAACACGATATATAAAATATGTAAAAGCAAACCTTGACCAGAATTCTTCACAGGCACTTTGTGGGCCTTCCACACAAACAATACCAGGTTTCCCAGGCATGCTAAACCCAGACAGGGAAAGCTCCCTCGCCCACTCTAGAATATTCTTTCTTTTGCATTTGTTGTAGATATGATGGCTATAGATCCAGAGTCTTGTGAGAATAAGATCGACTGACAGGACTGGACTTTCTGTGGTGATGGCAGATGGGGCATCTCTGCTGACATAGCGAGAAGCGTGCTCTCTAACCCACTCTGTGGCATTCAATATACAGACATCTCCATGGCAATTCTTTTGCAGGTACGTGGTCAGATCTGTGTTCAGCTGAGTCTGCTCGGTTCTACTTAATACTACTGATCTGATGGAAAACATACGGGAAAAAAATTAAATCAATTTTCTTGGGACAAAAAACAAACATGAGAATTGCTTTTACTCTCAGACTAATTTTGATCTCTAAAATTGGCCACAGTTTCTGTAACATACCTGACAGTAATTTCAGGCAGAACTGCAGGGTATTTAAAGGGAAGAATACAGGCCAGAGAAAACATCACCTGATTAAAGAAAAGAAGAGAAACACCCTAAGTGCTGTTTTGTCCTGACATGTTTCAGTTCTTCCAAAAACAAAATGGAATTACCATTGCTTCCTCAGATACATCCAGGTTCATATTGATAGTAAAGTAGACTTTTGAAGATCGCCCCTCCATTGTCCTCTTTTCAATACAATCTTTCAGTTCTGCTAAAGCCAGCTGGTCATTTACTATGAGCTCATTCTCCCCAGGGAACATACTGGCCAGCAGGTCTAACTCAGAGAGCTGGGCCTCCGCCTGCTCGATCTCAGTCATCTTTGGACATCCGTAAGTTTCTAAGGAGGTAAGGATAAGAGAGGTATTTACATATACAATCTTGGGAGAACTCAATAGATCAACAGGGGTACTTACTAAAAATATATTTGATTTCTTCATAAAATGTGCAATTTAATCAGAGTCTCTTTCCCCATCATCCTACTTTCAGATGTAATATGCTTAGGACCAAAAATATGGGAAAATCCAGTGAGAGCCAGTATGGTGAACTGTCAGTACTGTATATTCAAAGATAAACTTGTAGAGATGGCTTTTTGGATGAACAGCCACATTTTAAATTCTGACAGATATTGCTGAGTTTCCGTCCAGAAAGTTGCCATACAGAAGTTTAAGATTTGTACTTAGTCCCGTTCCTTTTTAAAAAAAAATCTTAATACATAATGCCTTTTACCAATTTTCTTTCTTTTAGGGGTTTTGAGCTTTATGTCTTGATTAGAAAGAACTTCTTTAACTCAAGTTTATTTTAAAATTCTTCTACTTTTAACTTGGAACATTTACAATTTCAATTTCTATATTTAAATATTTGATCCATCTGGAATTTACTCTGGTTTAAAAGGTGAGAGAAGACTCCAGCTTTATTTTTCCAGTTAGCTGGCCATTTGTACCAATACATCTTATTTTATAATACATTTGAAATGCCTCCTTCAACATGTTTAGTGCCCACATGTATTTGCATCTATTTCTGGATTCTCCATTTGCTTACACTGGTCTGTCTGTCATATCATGTCAGTATTCAGCTCTTTAAATCATTATGATGGGTTCATAAATAGTTCCTATTCCAATCTCTTCACAGCTATCACTCTTCTGCAATATTTTCCTACAACTTTCCTGGCTATTCTCACATACTTATTTTTTTTCTATATAAACATTAGAAAAATTTTGTCAAGTTTAGAAAACAAGAAAATTTGGGAATTGCATTAAAGATCAATGGAGGGAAAAATGACATGTTTATAATACAAAATTTTCCCTTCAATAAAGTTTTTTTTTTTTTTTTTTTTAAAAACAGCTTTAATGATGTATAATTTATATGTTAGCATCCCTTAGGGTTTGGTGTGGACCCTCTTTATCTTCTCTAATATTCTCATGGTAACAAATATCACAATGTCTACAATACTCAAATTGTTGTCTGCTGCCCTACATTCTTGAGTCCATTATTTGTAAATTTAACTGCATCTGTATATTTCTACTGAATGGCATCTCAGCCTCAACAGCTCTAAAACAGGTCTAAATTATGATATTTCTTCCACACTAGTCCTTTTATTCTTTTTTTTCCTGTTTAAAGAACTTCCTTTAACCATTTTTAGGGTAGCTCTGCTGGTGACAAATCTCTCAAATTTCCTTCATCTTAGAATGTCTTAATTTCTCCTTCATTCCTGAAGAATATTTTTACTGGATACAGCACTTGTATTCTGGGTTGACAGTTCTTTACTGTCAGCACTTGAAAAATGTTATGACTCTTTTGTCTGGCCTCTGTGGTTTCTGACGAGAAATTTTCTCTCATTTGAATTGTTTTCTTTGATAGGTAAGGGTCACGTCTCTGTCGCTGCTTGCAAGATTTTTTCTTTTTGTCTTTAGTTTTCAGAAGTTTATGATGTATCTTGACGATTTCTTTGGGTTTATCTGTGGAGGATGCATAAAGCAAATGTACTTCACAGGACCTGGCTTTCCAAAGCCTTGCAGTCTCAAATATTGACCTTGCAACGGACAGGAAATTTTCCCCAGGCTATAGTCTCTGTTGTATGATAAAGGATTGTAACACAGCAAAGACAGACAGGTCACTGATTGATATGTAAAGATACTGGGAAATTGCTGTAAGAAGAGAATGCTTGCTAAGATCAAGCTTTTGTGGGTATATCAACTTAACTTCTTGAAAATTGTATTATGGAAGGTCACCTTGCTTGTCTTACTGAATGTTACCAGCTTCTATTGTTAAACTTATTAAACTATACTTAGCAAAAACCCCACCTATGTTCTCTTCCTGTAACTTTCTGGTCTGGAGAATAAATGTGGGAAGAGAACTCCAATTCATTGTTAATTTCCCAAATGGAAGGAATGCCTCTATCTTGAGGGTTCTGGGAGATTAACCCCTTTTTGGGGCTTCTCACTGCTCAGAAGAGATGGGCTTTGAGTAATCTTTGGCGGCTCCGTCACCCAGGGGAAGAGAGATGACAAATCCGTGGGAGGCAAAGCAAAATTTATTCTGTGGGATGTGCTCAACTTCTTGAATCTGTAGTTTCATGACTTCTGACAAATTTGAGAAGTTTTCAGCAATTATTTCTTTTAGCACTTCATCATCCTGCCCTCTTTCTCTTCTCCTTCTGAGACTGTGATGACATGAATGTTAGATCTTTGTTATACTCCTGCATGTCCCTAAAACTGTTTTTGATCTATTTTTTATTGTTCTGATTGAGTAATTTACTGGTTCTTTCCTTTTACCCCCTTCCTTCTGTTGTTGAGTACATCTACTGAATTTTTATTTTTATTTTTAAAATTTAATTTTATTTATTTATATATGTTTTTTTGCAGCTGGCCCAAAAGGGGATCCAAACCCTTGACCTTGGTGTTATTGGTACCATGCTCTCCCAAGTGAGTTAACCAGACAGCCACATTCATTGACTTTTTTTTTTTTTTCCTTTTTGTCTTTTTTCGTGACCGGCCACGGATCGCAACCCTCAGTGTCGCGCCCATACCGGACTGGGACCGGCTACGGGATCGCAACCCTCAGCGTTGCTCCCGCACCTCGCTCAGCCAGTGAGCGGCTGGTCTGTATGTGGGATCCGAACCCTCGGCGGGAGCGCTGCCGCGCTTCCCAAGCGGTGCACTGTAGCAGTGCGCCACCGGGCCGGCCACATTCATTGACTTTTTAATTTTGGTTTTCATATTTCTTAGTTCTAACATTTCCATTTGGTTTTTCTTCATATCTTCTCCTTCTTTGCTGAAACTTTCTATATTTTCCTTCAAGTTTGCTTGTAATTGCTCTTTGGAAAAATTTTTATGATAGGTGTTTTAAAATCTTTGTCAGATAATTATACCATCTCTGCATCCTGATGGCATCTTTTTTTTTTTTTTTTTGCATCTGGCTGGTATGAGGATCTGTACCCATGACCTTGGCGTTACAAGACTGCTCGAACCAATTGAGCTAAACGGCTAGTCCCTCTGGCATCTATTGACTGTCTTTTTACATTTAGTTTGAGATCTTCCTGGTTCTTGGTATGATGAGTGAGTTTTGACTGAACCCTGGACATTTTGGGCACTATGTTATGAGATTTGATTTTAGCATGCTTTTTCTAATACTGCTACAGCAGGGAAGGGGGATGTGCTCTCTTGTTACTGCAAGATGGGTTGAAATCCAGGTTCCCTACTTAGCCTCGCTTGACATCTGAGGTGGGGAAAGGGGCTCTTCATTATTCCTGGGTGGGTATGGGCGTTCTGGCTCTACTTCAGGCCTCTAGTGATACCTCCCCGGCCAGGAAGGGTACTAGCACCTTGTTATTTCTCCCCATGTGGCCTCCACTGACACCACGGTGGAGGGTGGACTTGTTAATGCTAGGTGGTGATCAAAGTCCTGACTCTCCACTAGGCCTCCTTGGATTCCACCTTAGAAGGGTGATGGAGAGGTGCTTTGTTACTGCTGCATCAGAGTAAAAGTACAGGCTCCCCACGTGGTCTGACACGGACCTGACATGAGTCTGACACTGATACCGTGGTGGGGTCCTTCCTTCTTAGTGCCTGCTGGGGAGAAAAGTCCTGGGTCCCTTACTCAGATGTTTCTGATACCATCCTGATGAGGGGCAGGGGCTGAAGTGCCTCAGTACAGCTCAATGAGGACATAATCTGGGCTCCCTCTGCTGGTGTAGGTATGGGTGTGACCACAGTGTTTTCTGTGGTATTTCTTGGTAGAGAACATTTATTGTCTAAATGTTTTCTGGCTTGCTTGGCTGCCCCTTTCTTGGTCCTTTAGCTGCAGAGAGCAGACTTTTGTTGGGGCTTCCTCACCCTCCCCTCCGGTCTGCACCCTTGGTGTTTCTTGATTGCTGCTTCTTTAGAGTGACCTCTGGGAAATTTGAGGCAAACAGAATATCCAAGGAAGTCATCACCGTAATTCCTTGGGTCCCAAGCTCACTAGCCAGTCTTCCTTCTTCACTTCACCTTTCAGAGTCTTTTTGTGTTTCTTTTATATATAGTGCTCAGGTTTTTTCATTGTAATTAGCACGAATTATAGAGGAAAATATGTCTACTCCATTTTTTCCCAAACTGAAAGTCCCTCAACACAATTAATTTAGCAAGTTGGCAAAAGTAAAAAAAAAAAAAAGGCGGTTAATGTCTGGTAATTACCATAAGGGAAAACATTGCTATAAGGAAAGCTGATCTAAAATTCCAGTCATATGAAGGTGACATAAATAAATAAATCAGACAGTGTATAAAAATGTATTTGTAAAGATGTTCATTGCATCATTGCTTACAATGAAAAAAAATCAGAAATGACTTAAATGCTCAATAATAGACTAATTTAATAAATATATATCCAAATAGTAGAGTATATGGTCATTAAAAATGTATATTGAGGGCTGGCCCGTGGCTCACTGGGGAGAGTGTGGTGCTGGTAACACCAAGGCAACAGGTTGGGATCCTATATAGGGATGGCCGGTTAGCTCACTGGCTGAGTGTGGTGCTGACAACACCAAGCCAAGGGTTGAGATCCCCTTACCGGTCATCTTAAAAAAAAAAAAAATGTATATTAACATTGATGTTCGTAATATATAGTTACCTGAATAAAGTAAATTGTAAAACAATGTAAATAATATGATATTCTTACACGATCACATATGCATGAAGAGTCAGAAAGTAAATTCACCAAACAACTACCAGTTGGCTAAAAGGGGATAAGGGAAGAAGAAAAGACTTTCACTTTCTAATTTGTGTGCTTTTACATTATTTGAAGTTTTATGAATAGCATGTAGTATTTCTAAATTTAGTGGGGAAAAAAAGGGTTACACTTGTAAAAAAATAAAAAAACAAAAAAACAGAAAAAAGAAAAAAGAGCTCAATCCCATTGCTGCAAAAGAAAACTTTGGCTTATCTTCTCAGAGATTTTACTCTGTGAAATCAAACACCATTATTTAGGTCTGTGGTGTCTTCCTGACATTCTTTCTCATCTTTGGTAAAGGTTTATTGAGCAACTACTGTATGTATATCTTCATTCTTCATGCCTTCCTGGAGCTTTCTATTTAGTTTGAGGATCAGGATGTATATCTAGCAAGATACATAACAATGCCAATAAAAAGGCAAAGTGTTAAATGACTAGTATAGGTATCATCATGGGAATTAAGATGAGGTCTTGATCAATAAAATGAGTCACAAGAAATTATTTGAGGAAAGAAGCAGAATCTGAACTGAACCTTGAAAGAAGGGTAAGACTTAGACAAGTGGAGGAGGAGGCATAGTGGGGAGAGCTTCTGGAAGAAAGGGCTTCAAGGCAGGAAAGCAGCATAACTAGTGGTGGGGGCTGTACCCTCCCCGAACACAGGGAAAACAGTATAGACCCAAACCCGTCCCTTCTTCACAACCCTAAATGCCAAGGCCTACTTCAGGGGATCATCATTTGAATTATTTTCTCTCATGCTAGTTATTTTGTTTGTCCCCAAATTCATTATTGGTCCTTTTTCACACTGCCCTGGACTCTGGACAGCTGACGCCCACAGCCTATTACACCCTATTTTTCTTTCTTGTGGTTAGGTTCAGCCAATGCTCTGGCAAGAAGTGAGATGGGAGGAGATGGGCCAAGGTATTTGTTAACTACTCCTTTATTGCTTTGACAGGATTCTGATAATGGGTGTGACCCTTGAAGCCACAGCTTCTGCAGGAAGCCCTTCATCCCTAGCTCCAGCAGACATTTTGGGCATAATGGTTATAATGGTTCCTTTAAACCTGGCTATACCTCTGCAAACACCCCATTTATAAAACCCTCAAAGTTTCAAAGTTGAGTGTGTGCCTAGTTGCTGCCAGAACCTTGACTCCTCTAACCTGGACCCTGCCTCTAATGTCCCTCTCTCAACTCATGCTCCACACTGTTATTACAGTGATCATATGTAGTGCTCCAATAGAGGTCTAAGGAGGCAGGTAAAGGAGCATGGACTGTCTATTAGGAGTTTACATAGTAGGTGGTTGGGTACCACTGTTGTACTCTAAGAAGGAGTGGGGGCATGTTTGGTTCCCATGAAATAGGTGAGTTGACCACCCTAACAACTATTCAGTGGAGTGAATTTATCACCAGTTTATGATCTAGCTGTTAGTTTTACAAACTTAGTAGCAAAAAATGCCAGCATATGGGTTTAATTAACAAAGGCAGCCTTGAATGATCTGTTATCAAGTCCTTTACGAACATGTTTTTCCCTTTATTCAAATCGTCTTTATTTCATTCAATATAGTTGGATCATTTCTTTAATATTTAGAAACGGTATTTGCTCAACAATTTAGCTAGTTCTTTGTGTGGTACTTTTTTTTTTTTTTTAAAGATGACCGGTAAGGGGATCTCAACCCTTGGCTTGGTGTTGTCAGCACCACGCTCAGCCAGTGAGCAAACTGGCCATCCCTATATAGGATCCGAACCCGTGGCCTTGGTGTTATCAGCACCGCAGTCTACCAAGTGAGCCACGGGCCGGCCTGTGTGTGATACTTTTGAAGAGCAAAAAAAGTACTTATACTTAAAACAAAATGTAAACTACTCACATGTGACAGATTGGTAACTAGAATGGACCCTGCCAAAAACACATTAAGGACTACGGTAATGACTAAATGTGGTGGGATGTTCCATTCATTATGATTAACTGGACACAAATCAGGAGAATAAGAATCAGAAGAATAAGAACACGCTAAACTGTCTCTGCAGATTGGAGTATAAATCAATGCCAACACCACATCATCCCTAATCCCTCCGGCCTTTCAAATGATGTCCTTAAGACACTATTTACCAGGGTGAAAGAAATTACAGAAAGCACTCTGTGCTTATATAAACTCCTGAAATGCTGAATGACACAAAACGAAGTTCAACAGGTTTCTTTTGGGTGACCATGGGTACTGGTTAGCCTGTCATGATCCTGGTTTATGGCTGTCATCCTATTGTTCTGACTTAATATTTATCTTAGACAAAAGCAACCCTGTTTGGAGAACAGCATACACTGGCACACTTTTTATGTGCAGCTTCTGAGTCTTAATCGTTAGACCCTAATATGTACTATGAATTTCTAAGAGGAGGTTTTAGTATGCAGAGTATCCCAAGCATCTCTGACCCCAGAACATTCTTTTCCAGGACAAATGATATGAGCTCTCCTCTCCACAGAACAGATCAGGATTTGTTGCTTTGCCACCTAGTCACCCAAATTTAAGTAGTTTAAATATTACCAGGGTTACCCACCATCTTCATTTGGAGTCCTTTTCAAATAACCGTGAGAGCTCCAAATACTCCTCCCTCCTTCAATCACAATGTTTTTTTTACTAACCAGTGACTTCACAAAATTTTATATCCTACTATTTTCACTTGACATCATAACTTAAGCATCTGCTGCTATTAACAATATCCCCATAAATATTTAAAATTCATGGACTTACTGGAATTCCATAAGCATATTTCTAACGTTTTAGAGTTAAAAAATCTAGGAAATGACTCGTTAGGTGGTTATTACAGGATGTGAATTTACTTTGGTTTTTCATTATAGTGTTTAAAGTATGGACTCTGTTACCAGACTGCCAAAGTGAAACTCTGGGCTCTGCCACTTACCAACTATGTGAACTTAGGCAAGTGGCTTAATTTATCGCTGCCACGGTTTCCCCTTCTCTAAAATGGGAATGACAAGGTTACTGCGAGGATTAAATGAGAATGTGTAGGAAGTGCTTAAAAGAGTGCCTGGCAACAGTGTAAATGTTATACAAGTGCTTCCTGTAATTATTTTTTTTGTGGCTGGCCCTTGACCTTGGAGTTACCAACACTGCGCTCTAACCAACTGAGCTAACCCCCAGCCCAGTGCTTGCTATTATTATTGGTTATTCATTCACAAATGTTTCTCAAGCACCTACTTATGTGTCAATAATTGTCCTTGGCACTATGCATATAACAAAGTAACAAAAATCTCTGCTGTCATAGATGTTTAATATAGCAGGAGGAGACCACGACAGCAAAAAAAAAAAAAATATCTGGTGGTATTTCAAAGAATTCGTGGGAAAATGGAATTAAAAGATAATACAAATCTTTCCATGAATTTTTTGAAATACCCTCGTATATGCCCAGCGAATAACTGCTACGAAAACTGAAGAAGATAATGGGATAAGGAATAATGGTGAGGCAGAAGAAAGTGAGATTGTACAGAGTTGTCAGTAAAGGCCTCCCATCTAAGGTGCTGTAGCGATAAGACTTGAAGAAACTGAAGAAGGAAGCCATGTGTTTATCTGGGCAAAGAGTGCTGCAGACCAAGGGTACCAGCATGTTCAAAAACTGAGGCAGGAGGGAATAGACCAGCTGGCTAGAGCTGAGTGAGCTAGGGGACAGATTGACAGAAGAGGAGGTTAGTTAGGAGATGAGGGGCAGTTGCTGTTGAGACTCATAAGGCATGACCAAGACTTTGAGTTTTATCATAACTGATATGGAAGGCCAACGGAGGGCTAACTGGTGAAGGGGCTTACACTTGCTGTCATTGAAAATAGTGTAGGCAAAGGCTAGGAGAGTAGATAGGCACTGCAGTGACTCAGAGAGAGATGATGGTGGCTGGGATTAGGTTTGTGATGGTTAGCAACGTTCAGGTTTTGGACATACACAGAGAGTAGAGCCAACAGGATCCACTGATGATCATATGAGATATGTGAGAATGACTCCAAGGCCGTAAACTACTGGAAGCATGGATTTGCCACTTATTTAGACTGGGAAGACTGTGAAAATCTGAAGCTTGGTTCTAAACATATTAAGTAATGAAGTGCCTGTTAAGACACCTACTAATTAGAGATGTCCAGCATGCAGTTCGATATACCATCATGGAGGTTACGAGTCATCAACACTTGCTTAAAATGCTCCTAGGCAGAGAGCGAAGTTGGGAGAGGTCCCAATGAGTCTGGGGTCTGGAAATGAAATGGAACCCGCAAAGAAGTACGGGATGGAGCTGCCCGTGAACGGACAAATATGAGAGTGACACCACAAATCATTTATTTGCCAAATTACTTTTGTTGAAATTCAGCCCCCACTCCAGCACAAAAAACCCTCAAGAGAATTTTCTGCCTCAAGATTACAGTGAATGCTGCAAGAACGTAGAAAGAGACTTGCTTCTTGAGTAGAATCATGCTTTTTCCTTGCAGATTATTTCTATTTTAAAGAGTAGGGAGCTGCTGCCACAGCCCAAGCCTCTATACCATCGCACCTAACAACCAAGTGGGCCTGGTACGGAGGTCCCGGCTGTGGGCGGGGCTAGGAAACGCCGACGTCTCCTTAGACCAATGAGCGGATGTGCAGCGCGAAGGAAGGCGGTACCAACACACCAGCTAGGTCCGAAGGCGTGGTCCGGACCGCGCAGCGTGGGAGATCCCCCGTCGTAGATGTCAAACTCACCTCAACCCGTGGCCCCCTCACTGCTGTAATCCCGGGTTTCCTGGATGCACGGACAGCTCAAGTTGCAACAGGAGGGAGCCCCAAAATCCCACAGCACGGCGACTCGAAGTTTACAAAACACTCCTGCGGTACGGCCTAGGGGGCACGAAATAGTGCCCTTCCGGCTAGCGCCTGCGCATGCGCGAGACCGCGGGTCCCGGAAGTCAGAGCCGCCACGACCGGTAGGTGCTGGGATACGGCGGTGTGTGTGTTTCCACACCCTCGGACTTGGGACAGAGGGAATCCTTTGGCCCCGCTAGGTGCTTCTCCGTCGCATAATTTTCATTCTTACATCTCTCCATCCTAATCCCATGTCATTTCCCAGCTGCTGCCACTGTCGTAGTATAGTAGGCACTGTTTTCTGGGACAAGGATTGGGCCATTAAAGTAAGGCTCCTGAGACTCGAACTTATGTAGGAATTATTCGGGGATCCTGTTGAAATGCAGATCGGGATTCGGTAGGTAGGGGTGGGGTCTTAAATTCTTCTTTTCTAATATCTCCCCACGCAGTAGTTATCGTCCTCTCCCTGAACTACAGAGTAGCAAGGCATTAGGGAGACGTGACCGTGGATGATTGGTGGCCTTAGGTGTTCTTGCCCAGTAACCAAGCTGGGAGGAACCGTTTGAATGCACCTATTTATCCCTTTTAATAAAGGGACAGTTTGAAGGAGATTCAAACACGAGAGTAATTAGAAATATTTTTCTTCCCAGTCCCACTATATGCAATTACACTTCATGTCACATGTTCGTTTTAGAAATGTTTTAAAATTTCTGAACACTGATATTCATTGATATTAGATATTGCCACTGCTAACCTCCACAACATTTATTTCTTCCCAGTCCCACTATATGCAATTACACTTCATGTCACATGTTCGTTTTAGAAATGTTATAAAATTTCTGAACACTGATATTCATTGATATTAGATATTGCCACTGCTAACCTCCACAACATTTAAAAAAAAATGAGATAATACGTAGGTCTTCATAGATGCATCTACTTGGTGTTTTATAAGTGTTTTCAATGTCATTATATAATATACTTTTTCCTCCAACTTTTATTATGGAAAATTTCAAAAATAAAGCAAAGTTTACAGTGAATTTTGCAGTGAATCATTGGAGCAGTTCTCAAAAGGAAAAGGAAGGATTTTCTCCCTTCGTCATTTAGCAGTATTTGAAGACATTTTGGGTTGTCACAACTGGAAGGATGCTATTAGCACCTAGAAGGTAGAGCCCAGGGATGCTGCTCAACTTCCTACAGTGCACAGTACATCACCTTACAACAAGGAATTTGCTGGTCTAACATGTTGATAGTGTTGAGGTTAAGAAACTCTGACCTAGAGACTATTGTAACATTTCATTCTACCAGCTTTTTCACATATCTCATTAATCTATATATTTTGATATGTTTCAAAGTAAATTGCAGACATTAGTACAGTTCTTGCTAAGCACATTGGCATGTATATCATTAGAGTTCAATTTAAGTTTTTTCTTTTGAAGTAAAAATGAAATGCATATCTAATGTGTGTATTTGCTGAGTTTTGACAAATGCATACACCTGTGTAACTCAAACTGTATTAAGATACAGAGATTACCATCACCTAAGTTCCTTCATTCTTCTTTCTAGTTAGTCCCCATCCCTGCCCCTAAGATGCAACCAGTGTTGTGTTTTTTTCCCACCATAATGAGTTTTGCCTGTTCTAGAACGTCACATAGTTGGAATCAGACAGTAGGTACTTTTGTATAAGCCTTCTTTCACACAATATGATATTTTAAAGATTCAGAGATGTCTTGTGTGTATCAGTAGTTCCTTTTGATTGCTTAGTAGTATTCCATTGTACTAATATACCACTTTTCCCATTCTTGTTTTGATGGAAACCTGGGATGTTTCCAGTTTTTTGTCTATTATGAATAAAGCTGCTGTGAACATTCTTTTACAGCATTTTATTTCTAATGACTACATTTCTTCAGTAAATACTTACTAAGCACTTACTATGTTCCAGGCACTACTAGGTAAAAGAATTATAGCCAGGAGCAAGACAAAGACGTCCCATCTATCAAAACCTTACATTTGCACATTCCTGTGTATGGATGGGGAGGGATAAACATATAGCTAAAAATGAAAGAAAAATATTATTGTGATAATTGCTGGGCAGAGAAGTAAAACAAGGTGATATGTGTGATCGGTTGATTATGTTGTCTAGGTTGCTTGGGAAATACCTTTGTGAGGAAGTGATTTTTAATGTGTGACTAACACGCCAATAAGATACCAACCACGGAAGATCAAGGGCTCAAGGGCGAGAGCATTCCAGGTAGAGGAAGCAGGTAGTACAATCGCCCTAAGGCCATTTAGGAGGGTGGGGGTGGGGGGTGGGGCAGGGAAACCTACGTGTCAGGAGCTTAGAGGAAAAGCTTTAAAATATCATCTCACTCTGTACAGGCCAGCCACCAATAAAAAAAAAAAAAAAGAAAAGAAAAAAATATCTCAGGAGTAAAGAGCAGGAGAGCCAGTTTTTCAACCAAATTCAGCCAAACGTTGCTCTGGCCAATTTGATGGGTTAGTATTCCACCATTTTAATCTACTTTTATCTGATTACTAGTGTGGTTGAATATTTCTTCATTTAATTTATGACCAATTGTTCTTTGTGAACTACCAATTTAGAACTCTTGCCTATTATCTATTGACACCTGCACCTTTTTTTTTTTTTGGTAGCGATTATTGTGTCTTCTCTATTAAACTAAACTCCGGGGCGGCGAGGCTTAATTCATTTCACAGAGGGCTTGGCACAAAGTGCCCACTTACATATTTTCAACGAAGAAACAGTAAATGTTTGAAATTCTACCCTCCGTAATTACTCTTTAATACCTTCTTTGAGTTCTGCTCTTCAGTTCTCTCGCTGCTTTACCTTTTTATTCTGACGTGGTGCGGCACGGTTAATTCCAAACAATTTATGTACTCAACTTTAGAAGTTCATAGGACAGAATTGAGGAAACTGAAAGTTAAATGTTCCCCTCTTAGCCTTCTGGTGTAATATGTTTAAGAAAGTAACCGT